CAGGGGGCAGGGGAGGGGGAGCCGGTGAGACACGGAAGGCAGGGTGGTGGGGAGAGCACAGAAAGGCAGGTGGCACTGGGCCTTGCTGGGAGCTTACAGACTGGGCGCACAGCTGGGACTGGGACAGAGCTCTGGCCCCAGCGTCCAGTCATCCAGCAGAGCCTCTCAGTGATGCAGGTAGTGGGGACGGGGTGAGGATGATGAGGCTCATCCTAATTCAGAGCACAAGGATGGAGCGGGGCGCGATCTTTCCCAGGACGGCTGGGAACCACTTTCCCGCTCCGTGCTGGCCTGCCTGAGGTCCTGTGCAAGTCACCCACTCGGCTTCTCCGAGCTGCAGCTTCTCTCTCAAACAGGTTAACCGTGATGCTCGGTTCTTCTCCAGGTTGCTTTGAGCATCAGGTGAGAATGGACATTTGCTAGGATTTTGAAAAGTGACCCATGCTGGAGCAGCAGGGAGAGGCTCTGGGGACTATAAGGTTCTAAACATGCATGAGACTGAGCCTGTGCGGACCTGGCTCCCCAGCACCAGGATGGGGCTGTTTTGAGGTTAAAGGGTAGCTCAGTTCTTTGAAAACTAAGCTTAAAGGAAGTCATAAAGTATTTTTAAAGTTGGGGGTTTTTTGCATTAGCAGACAGCATATTAAAATAAAATTAATATTTCATTGAGGTTGGACAGAACCCACTGGAAATGCTTTATCATCTTAATGACTTTGGAACTTGGTACCTGGTAAGCTCAGTGTGACGACAGAGTGCAATCTCTGGTCCCATCAAGAGACCATCTGGTCCTGCTCCCTCCTTATCCAGGAGGGGAAAGGCTCAGAGAAAGGAAGGGACCTGCTTGAGGTCACACAGCGACAAGGCTGCACTAAGCAATACCAGGCATGTGGCATTTCAAGTGTACTAGGTCTTAGTATTTTACAAGCCTATCCAAGAACTCTCTTCTGATTCTCAGGGCTGCGCTCAGAAGCAGATGATGCACAGGGCGTCACATGCCAATTCCGAGGCTCAGAAGTCACTAGGTGGTTATTGGTGATCCAGTCCATCTAAGTCAGTCTACAACCTGGATGTGTACACTTCTTTCAGATCTATTCGGCTGTCCTTGAAATTTTTTTCTTTTTTTTTTTTTTCTTTTTAGGACACAAAACTACACTGTCATTTTGCTGTTTAACCTGAGGACAACACGGATGAGATTTCATCTGCCTGTGGGCCTTTTGAGAGGGGGATTCCAGAGGCTGCCTTGTAGGAGTGGGAAGTGCTCCTTCGTCTTGTGGGGAGAAAGCCCCCCACAGGGAGCAGATGTTTCTCTGCTTCTCAAGGGACAGGCCCTGCCTGCCCTGCGGCACGGGGCCAGCCAGGGAAAGCCTCAACGATCGATCTTGTCCATCTGTCTCATGCTGGGGTTCCGCCAGGACAGCGCGAGTGGTGCCCTTTCTCCTCCCACTGAAGCTACCTTCCTAGCTTCTCCCCATCCCTTTCTTCTCTTGGATCTACCTCCCTAGAAGGGCCTGCGATTCCTCCCTGCCATACATTTTATAGGGGCAAGACCTGGTTCTTGCCATGATGGGGGGAGAAACTGTTTTGAGACCCCATCTGGTGCATGGACCACAAAGCTTGAAAAAGAGACAAGGGGTCACATTGTGCAAAGCAAAACACACTGGAAGTATTGGGGCAACTGATTAGACAAGGGGGCAGGGGAGGATGTTGACTTTGAGCTTTAGTGGTGCTTTCTGAAGTCAGCCTATGTGGGTTTTGACCTTGGAATTTTGTAAAGGGTTACATTCTCCATTACGCATAGCTTTTTATAGTGGACCACTGGCTTTTAACTGCTGCAGCTGGGGCAAGAAGATGGGAGTGTTCGATCTTGGTGGGATGCTGGAGCTTATGATGTCATTAACTCTAGGCACCTGGCTGCTTCTCTAGGCAGGGCCTTAGCAAAGTGGAGGGAGTCAGGAAAGGTGGGCAATTTCTCAGGCCTCGGGGGAGCAAAAGCTGTCCCCCCACCCCGCGAACCTGGCAAAGATGAGGGACCTGTTCAGGTCCGACAACGGCACTTTGACGATCTTACCTATGCTCTTGACTTACATGAGTTATTAAAGGTGTGGACACCAGAGGCTGGGAATGGAACTAAGACATTGTTGAGGCCCTGAAGGAGAAGGCAGCTGACAAAGGCACCCCAACTCCACCCAGGTGGTGGGGTTCCCTCTGAGGCAGGAAGTAAATTTAGGACTTAAATGTCATTAAGTTATTAATTCCTGAGGGCAAGAGAAATTGATTTGGGGCTTTAACTTGCAACCTGATTTAACTTTTTTGACTATAATTTTCCCTTAGGAATTTTATAATTTAGGAAATCTCTATAATGTCATTATATCAGACTATTCTAACATGGTTATTTAACCACGCTGTAGGAAGGTTATAGTTGCATTATGTCTAAAGCAGCAATATCATGTCTTATGCCAATTTTCAACTTTAGAGACTGTGTGACCTTGGAGTACATCTCACTAAGGTACTATTCTAACACATGTAAGAACCTCTACGAGGCAAAACGTATATGGCCCATCAGCAGCTCAAGGACGATACCTATAGGAACGGCTGTCAGGCTGGAGGAACCTTATGAAGATGGACAGAACTGTATGGACCCAGGGCTGCTCTTATCCTGTGAGGGACAGAATTAGGCAGAATTTTTAAGCCCCATGGGAAATAAGTAAATAATAAAGTGGGGCCAGTTTCTTTGATGTGCCTCATGTTTCCTTCCATCTGGAGGGAACTCAGCGTAACACTCTTTGATTTTTCTGCCCTTAGACTCATTCAACCCAGGGGAAGAGAGGGGACTCCCCTCCTGGTAGATTTGGGAAGCATGGAGGGGGCATGCTTGGTTGTGTCCCTCCCTCCTCCTTGTCAATGTTGGGCTCACAGGGGTAGGAGGCTGATGGGCACCTCTGTCTAACTCCGGGCTTCACCGTAAGGAAACGCACCTCCCCACAGATACAAACAAAATCTTTCTACCTATATTTTGGCTCCTATCTGCCTTCCTTATTTGTCTTATTTCTCAAATAGTTTAATAGCCATGCGGGAAGGGAGGAATGGTCATTTTTTTTGGCATCCCTCAGAGACCCCATCCCCAGGGAACCCCAAAGGAGGGTCTCTGGGGCCCCATGACATGGCATCCCCATTACTCCTCTGTGATGTGTGCCCCCCAGCATGCCCCCAGCCTACCTCCATGCTGGTCCTGGCCCTGGTTGGAGCTCTCTCTCCCTCCACCTCCTGGAGGGCTCACCCCAGATGGCATCTCTGATGTCCCAGGCGTGCCCTCCGGGGCCTCCTTCTCCAGCTCAGGGTGGGGACCGTTCCGTGTCCACCACGTCAGGCGAGCAAGCTGGAGGGAAAGAAAATACTGCTTGACTTGGATACCCTTGGGCGTAGTCTTACTGTGGAACAAGAGGACTCCCCTTCACAGGAGGCCGGCAGAGCAGTGAGGAGCATAAGGAACAGGCACAGGACCGAGTCAGGATGCCTGGCTCTCAGCCCGAATGCCCTTTCCTTTGAAAAGCTGCGCCCCCTGAGCACCTGCTCCCCCTGAGCACTTGCTCCAGGCTCCACGCTCATAGCCTGGGAAGAAAGAAGCCAGACAGGGAGGCAGGTGCCCCATGACAGAAGGCTTCCAAGGTAGGGTTGTGGAGCTGATACTCTTAAAAAGAAACTCATAGGCAACGGAGAGGCCCTGCAGACTTTAGACAAAAGGAAGAGACTCTAAGTTGTGGGATTTAGAAAGATCTCTCGGAGTGAATTGAAGGGATTCAGGCTGTAGGCTGTTGGAACAGCAGAGCAAGAAATACAGAGCATCTGGGGTAGGAGAAGGGGGTGGTCTTCGGGTGAGGGAGCAGCGAACATGGCTCTTAGGTTCCTGCCTTGGACCATCAGGTAGGTGGCGGACGAGCTCGAAGAGTCTGCCTACAGAGTACCTGCAGAGCCTGCTGCCACAGAGTGGCAGGGACGTCTCTGTCCAGGGACGGAGCAGCAAGCCCGCATCCCCTGGACAGCCCTGGTAGCTTTCTCTCTTCTCCCTTTTTGGTGGCGCAGCAGAAAATCCAGCAAGTTCTCTAGCTGAAGTTGGTTGGACCCAACCAGGACTATCTGAGCTCTGTACTGTCTCCTTTCCAAAAAACTCTTTTCCTGGCCCAGCAGCTCTTGGTTACATATTGGCCCAGGTAAACCCTGCCCTGCCGCCAAATTCCTATAGGCACGTCCAGCAGCCCAAATTCCTACAGGCACGTCCAGCAGCCCAGGATGAGCGACCATCCTCCAGGACCCTTCCGCTGGCTTCCAGCTACGTCTTTGTACGGTCTCAGGAGAGCCCGGACTGCTTCTCCACTTGAAAGTACCTCTTAGCAAATGTGACTTCATACTTACACAATGTGTCATTAGCCGTGTATGGGTGGTGTCTCTTTATGTCATGGGAAGCAGCTGGATTTGGGTTTGAATCTTGGGCGAGAGAGAGAGAATGGAGTTTCATCTTCCTGTAGAGGATTCTTGAGTTCCCGGGTATGGATAGGACAGCTCAGTGACAGTGTGGGGTGAGAAGGGTTTTAGGTCATAAGTGGGACCCTAAGGGACACTGAAAACCAAACTGGAGGGGCATGTGTCATGGACGTGAGCAGAAGAGAGATCTTCAGGACGCAGGAAGTGGTCCGTGGTGGCTGGTTCTCCTCAGAACTCACTGAGGACGAAGATGGGGGAATGATCGTTAATTTCTAGCAACAAGAAGGTTATTGGGGTCTTGGTGAGAGCAATTTCGGGGGAAGGGGGGACATCAGCCAGACTGGATGAGAAGGAGACAAGAGGTGGGAAGTGAAGGCTGCGAGTGATCACCCTGCAAAGTCGGCTGTTGAGGAGCCCAGCGGGAGGCAGCGTACCTAGGGAGGGCCGGGGTCCGGGGAGGGGGTTTCGAGTGGGAGACACTTCTGTGTGGGAGTGAGGCAGCAGACAACGGAGAAGCTGAAGATTCAAGCAGTGGGGAGAGATCACTTCTGGAGTGAGCCACCAGAGAGACCCGCCTCTCTTGGCTCCTCTGTTTGTAGGAGGAATTAGTGACATCAAGGGTCTAAAGTGGTTTTGCAAACTCTCCAGCACCATACAGATAAGGGATGTTAGTAATGCCTTCCACCCAATGTTTCAGGGACTAGTTTCTGGCATGGGCTCTATTATGGGCTGAATTCTAACCCCTCCAGGACTTCAGAATGTGACTGTATGTGCAGATAAGGCCTTTAAAGTGGTCATTAAGGTTAAATGAGGACATTAGAGTGACCCTAATCCAATACAACTGGCGTCCTTTTAAGAAGAGAAGATTAGGACACAGACACTCAGGGGAAGATGGGGTGACGACAGAGAGGCGAAGACAGACATCTGCAAGCCAAGGAGGGGGGCCTCGGCGGAAAGAACTCTGCCAACACCTTGATCTCAGACTTCTTGCCTCCAGAACTGTGAGAAAATAAACTTCAGTTGTTGAAGCCCCACAGATGGCGGGGCCGTGTCATGACCGCCCATGATGTAAAGATGAAAGGTTTCAAAAGACAGCTTCCATGACTGAGGACTGGAAAATCTGTCAGCATGTGAGAGGGGAGCGCTTGCTCTGGGAGACTCTGTGTTTTTTCTCATCTACCTGTTTCTTGACTGGCCAACGAATCCTTCCTCCTTCTTCTAGGGCCAGCTCCAAGTGACCTTGTCGGGGAACCCTCTGCAGCCCCGCAAGGGTGACTGCCCCCACTCCCGGTGCTCAGCCCCTCCCTTTGAGCTTGGTCCTTCTGCACTTTCTTGTGGTAGACTAACTGTTGGCGTTGGTGTCTGTCCCCAAAAGTCGCTGGCAGGGCCCATTCGTCTTTGTAACCCTAGCACAGTGCCTGGCACACGAGGTGCTCCCGGAGTAATTTTCCAATTGAATGAATTACTTTTCACCTGGGATTGAATAATCCAGTGAGCTCCCCGTTCCCAAGGACGTGTGTATGGCCACAGAGGAGACAACCCGCTGGAATGAAATTCAGGGGTCGAATCCCAGGCCCCGGGGGTAGGGACAGCATTTTGAGGAGCCCCAGCGCAAGCACTCCACTTGCCTTTTCCTCCGGGATGGGAGTGGTACAGAGGCTGATGGAGACGATGACAACAGCAGTGAGCCCACAGAGCAGGAGGGCAAAGTAGAGGTAGTGGAAGTCCTTCAGCACGGCCGGCCTCTGGTCCACCTCCCCACAGGCTGGCACGGGGTATGAGAACTCCAGGATCATGCGCAGAAGCCCCACAACCAGGCCAAAGATGAGGCCCCAGAAGGCTCCCTGTGGAGAGAGGGTAGACATGGGAGGCCCGAGCAAGCCTAAGCCACGGTCTGTTACAGTGTTTGCAGGCCCACCGTAGCGAGCTCCCTGTTAATGCTGAGGCTTTGTCTGAACTTAAAGGCAGGCAGAGTGGTGCCCCGGGAAGGGCACAGGCTCCAGAATCAGATAGACGAGAATTTGGATCCTGGCTCTGTTCCAGAATGATTGAAATAGTGACTCAACCTCACTGGCTTGGAGTTTTCTCATGCGCAATGGTAAGAGAAATTAGTATATACTAAGTATAGATGCTTAGTATTCAACTAGAATGGAATATGCTTTTGTAATGAGCAGGGAAAACCAGGATCCCCCATCCTGATTTTCCGTTATAATAAACAAAAAATCAGAATAGAGCTCTTCTAGAAAGAAAGAAAGAAAGAAAGAAAGAAAGAAAGAAAGAAAGAAAGAAAGAAAGAAGAAAGAAAGAAAGAAAGAAAGAAGAAGAAAGAAAGAAAGAAGAAAAAGAAAGAAGAAAAAGAAAGAAAGAAAAAGAAAGAAAGAAAGAAAGAAAGAAAGAAAGAGAAAGAAAGAAGAAAGAGAAACAAAGCAAAGCAAAGCCAAGCTCTGGCACCTCCCCCATCTTGTTTATAACACCACTTGACCCAAACCTATACCTGTTCCCTGTATGTGAGGGTCAGAGGGCTCGTATTTTCAAAAATGAGATGCCGATCCTGATACCAAGAATTCTGGAATGAGGGGTGCCTGGGTGGCTCAGTCATTAAGCATCTGCCTTTGGCTCAGGTCATGATCCCAGGGTCCTGGGATCGAGCCCCTCATCGGGCTCCCCGCTCCGCGGGAGGCCTGCTTCTCCCTCTCCCACTCCCCCTGCTTGTGTTCCTTCTTTCACTTTGTCTCCCTCTGTCAAATAAATAAATAAAATCTTAAAAAAAAAATTCTGGAATGAGCATAAACACCCAGAATTCAGCCGAGCTGAGCCATGCTGTGCACCATCGTGATCAGCAGGGAGGTTAGACGTCCAGAAACAGTCGACAAGTGGCCTGGGTACTCCCTGGGGAAAGGGGCTTCTGAGATGTCCTTTGCAATGACTTTGAGCTCTCCTGTGGCCCCTGCGGAGTTGTGTCCATGACATCCTTTAGCCCCCAAAGCACAGCCGGCAGAATCGGGCCCCTCTTTTCTAGGCTCTCCTGGGGGTAACCAAGGCAATGGTCCTGGAACCTCTAGCTCCTCCCAGGCCTTTCAGCAGTTGTGTGAATGAAGCATGTGCGGGGTCATCTGTGGCTGGTATTTTGCCTACATACAGAACCTTACGGGGTTAGAGAGGGAACAGACCCCAGAGATCCTCCCGTCTGTCCTGGCCTTTTACACACACTTCAACGTGTCAGGAACATTCTTCTCTTCCCCATTAATCCAGTCTAGGATCAGATGTCACTTCCTCCAGGAAGGCTTCCCTGGCCCCCTCCCAGGCATCCCATGGGTTAGGTACCCCTGACCCCCACTCTCACAGCAGCCATTAGACTTTATTCTTATTTCTTATTGAGTCATCTTTCCTCCCATCTGGCCCAGTGATGGTGGACCTACATGAACCTCGTAAACCATTGCATCTAGAAGCTTCCATAATAGGATCAATGAATGTTTGTCAAGTGAATGAATGAATCAAAACCCGACGCTATGGATGGGGAGACGGAAGCCTAAAGGAGGCAGTGTGTGTGTCTGATATGTCCCAGAGAGACACCAGGCTACAGACAGACCGGACCTCCTGACCCTCGGGTGTACAGGGAGAGACAGGGGCCCTGTTGCACTCACAGGCTCTGTGACCCTCTTGCAGAAAATGGCCAGCAGGAAGAGGGCGGTGATAGGCGGGGCCAGGTAGCTGGTGACAGACTGGATGTAGTCGAAGAGCTGCCCGCTGTTGGAGCTTTGGATGATGGGGATCCAGAGGATGCTGATGACAACCAGGAACACCACAAACACTCTGTAAGGAGGGCACAGGGCACTGTGAGGAACGCTCAGGGTGGCATTGGCATGGGGTGGGGGGCAAAGGGGGGACACAGAAACCGGGAAGGGAAAAGGGAAAGGAATGCATGGTCACTGAATCAGAGAATGCTAGGAGACTGGAAATGCTAAGATTCCAGAAATTTAGGCCTCTAAAATCCCAGAATAGCAGAATTCCAGAATCCAACAAACCCAGGATTTTTGAATTGGGGTCTGTGAGGTCATGTAGGCCACCTGCTCTTCAGGGAGAAAGCCATACTTTTTACAACACCCCCCACTTCAGTAAATGGCCTCTGGTCTTGGCTTGGATGCCCTTTCTTCTCTTTTGCATCCCAAACCCGTGCAGGACAGCCCCCTTCTCTGGGATGGCTTTAGTTCCAGAGACTTTTCCTTCTTTGTGCTCCTCCAGTTCTAACCCACTGCTCCCTTACATTGGCATTTAGCTCAGAGTGGGGACCCCACCTTGTCCTCCTGACTGCCCCCAACTGATCCTGGCTCAGGCCCAAGTACCCTAAAGCACTCTCTTATGATTTTGTGTGAACAAGTTGAAAACTTTTCTTGGATGCAATAATGCACATGGCCAGGAGATGGTGCTCAAATCCCACTGATGGATGAAATAAATGGCCGTGGAACCCGCTGAGTACAAGAACGAAGGAGCGGTCTTTGGAAATGCCTCTGCGCACTTGTCCTCACCTCTCCTCTCCCTCCCACATTTTCCCCATCAGGCCCCACTAGAGAGGCAGCTACCACTTGGGTGGTAGTACCCAAGTGGTAGCTGCTCATCCCTCCCCTCCCAGATCCTTAAATGCTCAGGCCCTGCGTGTTAGTCCAGACAGCTGAGTCACGGAGCCTTAAATTATGAAGCAAAGAGTTCGGAAAGTGCCCCTTAACCCAGTGTAAACTACAAGCCTAGGGAGAAAAAGAAAATAAGCCACCAAGTGATACTTTGAAAAGCACAAAATCAAAACCAAGGAGATAAAGTTCAAGTTCTCCAGCTTGCCGTTCAAGGCTCTGCGTCCACTGGAGACAGCCTTCCTGCAAACTTCCCGGCTGAGGCAGCCCCACGCTGCATTACCTGCGCTCCTGTTGCCAGGAGCAGCCCTCAGGGCAGGCTAGTACCAGGCGCCCCGGTGTCCCCCGCACAAGCTGTGATGCAAGGGGGATGCTCAGGGTGAGTCTGATGGAGTAAATTAACAGGCTTTCTGTTTTCCTGGGATAAAGGCTGGGCTGATCTAAAGCTCCTGGGGGTGAGCTGCTTGCTAACTACCCGCCCCCCCATACAGTTCACCTTCCCTTTCTTAAATGCTTTGTCAGCTTCTCTCACTTACTCTGTTAATCAGAGAAAGAGAAAGTTGAACAGACCGGGAAGAGACTTTTTTTTTTTTCTCCTTATTCTGGAAGCAGAGGAATGTCCAGAGTTGGGAAGGGACTCACCTGAGGTCATGTAGGAAGTTGGTGCTAGAACCAGGTGCTCTGACTGCCAGGCCGGGCCCAGACCCCACCTCATCCCCCGCCCCCTGCCCACCCCCAGGGCAGCCCAGGACAAGGAGGAGAGGGGAGAGGGGTTCTGCCTGCAGGGAAGGGGTGCTCCAGAAGGAGGGGCCAGCGCACCTGCCCACCACCATCAGCTCCTGCTCTGTAGCCTTCCTTCGGAGGCGCAGCCACACGTCGATGGCAAACAAGGTGCCGCTGCTGTTGAAGATGGAGGTGAGTGAGCTCATGAGGGCGGCCAGGATCACGGCGATCATCAGGCCCCGCAGACCTGGGGAGAGGCGAGGTCTCCATGGGCAGCCGGCCTGGGAAGGCCAGCTCTGCCAGGGGCCACGGAGGCTACAGAGTCCAGCAGAGCCAGGGCTATGGGGGTGGGGATGCTATTGCATGAGGTTCCCACCTGTGCGGATGAGGAATCCGGGAGACCGGGAGGCCCGCTTCTGGATAAGCGCCACGGCCCTGAGTGAGTCCCCTGCCCTGCCCCTGTCCAGGCCCAGCCTCCTCATCTGCATCACTAAGAGCGGTGGGCCTAGGTGACCCTGCAGTTTTGACTCCTCAGTCTGGGCTTCAGAGCTTGTAGACACTTGGTTAGGGGCCCCTGGTGGGGAGGAGGGTGCCTGTTAAGAATGGAGTGTTTTCAGTCTGTGTGCCTTTTCATGGACACGGTGGTGCCAGGTTAAGGCCCCGGCCTGGGAGGCAGAAGGCCTGGGTTTGTTTCCTGGTTCTGCAAGCAACTAGCTGTGTGATCTTTAAACTAGTTCCTTCCTTTCTGGACCTATTCTCCCCCTGCATAGCAGGGGAGGATGGAACCCACTGATATCTGAGGTCTCTATGACTCTAATGATCAAGCTTCTAGAAACAACCACTCATGTGTCCCTGGGGAGACCACTCTCTGTCAGCCCTACCTCGGCCCTCTTTCCTCCCAGTCCAAGTATTTAATCACCTCCTGGAGGTCTCCCTGAAAGATTCAAGGCGTTCCAAACAAACCTAGGCCAGCACCTTCCTCCGGGGCCTTCTGTTGCTTCCTTTGGTTAGCAAACTCCAATCTCCATAGCAGACACTCAGTTATCCTAGGCCCCCTCCTCTGCTGCCCTTCCTTCCCACCTCCCTCATTCAGCCCCCACTGTGGACGGCCTGTCCTAGCCGGGCCTCCCACCATCTCTACTATTTCTTTGATTCATTTCTTGTTCTACTGGAGGGAGAGGAGAGCTCAAATTAAGGACTTCCCTCATAAACCTGGGTTTTTCCCTATGTCCCCACTCTCAATATCATTGTAAACCCAGGACCTGGGAGCCCTCTCTAGATCCCTCTGTCTTTCTCCTCCCTCAAATGTAATCAGTCACCAAATCCTGCCACCTCTACCTCACGAAGATCTTTTAAACCCCTTCTGTCCACCCCTGAAGCCACAGACCTGGCCCGGCCACCAGCACCCCATCCCTCTGCCTCCTGCAAAGTGAACCCTCCATCACACTGGTCCTTCAGAAGCTCAAATCCCCTCATATGCTCTGGCCTAAAACCCAGAGGAAAGGCTCTGCTCCACGGTGAGGTGTGACCACGGCCTCCTCTCCACCACTGTGGTCCATTCCTCTGCAGGTGAGTCCCGCAGGGCTGCTTCAGACCCTGCTCTCTGTCAGCCCTCAGCCTTCGCACACATAGTTCCTCCTCCCCGAATGACATTTCCCACCTGCAGCTGGCTTCGTCTGCCTAAGATGTTCCTTGGGATTCAGCTCCATTTCCTCTCCTCTGGGAAACCTTCTCCAATGTTCCCCTGGGCCAGGTCGGGTGTCTCCTTAGGGCTCCCTCAGCCCCACTGTGTCCCCACACTGGTGATGTAGCATTGTGTCCTCAGTGAGCCCAGGTGTCCTGGGGATGGCATGAAGCCCGAGCTCGGGCCTGCCTTTCATCCCTGCATCTCCACAATTAAAGCCAGAGTGGGTGCTTTATAGACACTTGTGAGAATGTGTGTGTGTGCACGCGCGCATGCACGTGTGTGTGTGTATGCTCGCGTGTGTTGGGGGAAGGAGGTGTGGAGGTGAAGGTTCTTATTCCCTATTCCTGTCCATGCCCACCGTTAATGCAACCCCTCCTGGGCAGCGGGGATTGGAGGAAGCCGGGGGACGGCGTGAAGGGTGGCGTGGGGAGACAGGACTCACCGACGGGCATGAGGGCTATGACCAGCTTGGGGTAGGCGATGTTGGAGCAGCCCACTCGGGCCCCGCAGATTCTTTGGCAAACGTCAGGGTCTACACAGCCCACCTCATCTATAGAAGAAGTGATGGCCATCAGAGCCGAGTCTTCCTGTGCCTCCTTGGGTTGGCCCAATATTTGCTTTCCAACAGGAAAAAAACTGCAGGAAGTGTATCCTGGTGACTCTGGCAGGAACCAGCATCTCTTGCAGGAGCCAGAGGGTCAAGGGGCAGGCAGATGTCTGGGTACCCGATTTAGCCGTCTCCAGTAAATCTCTTGACCACATACTACCCTGCAAAGCCTGACAGACTCCTGGGGGTTTTAGGCCTTATATCTTGCTAAAAGGCAAAAATCCTTGGAAGGTACCAAGAATGCCTTCTTTGGTCTTTCCCTTATAAAGGGAGCATAGGATTTTAAAATGACATTTAGATACAATTTCTTCTTCTGAAATACTTATTGCATGTTTGGCCCACAAAGCCTCACGCATATGTATCTTAATAGAAACAGCACGGGGCACCCCCTCCCCACCCCTCGCCCCCACCGCCAGCGCAGCATCGTCCAGCTCCGACCTGGGTACAGGGCCCGGCTGATCATGCCGGGCATGACGATGAAGAACATGGGCAGGATCTTCAGGTAGCCCCCCAGCACGGAGCCCCCCTTGGCATGGGACAGATTCTTGGCAGAGAGAGACCTCTGCACAATGACCTGGAAAGGGAGGGGTGGAGGCAGGCCACTCAGGTCAGGTGGGGCTCAGCTCAGTCACAGGCGGGCCCTGAGGTGGTCCCGAAACAAGCCCCGACCCTCTGCGTCTAGGTGCGTGGTTTTCCCGCAGGGAGCACCCCCAGGTTGTGACGGGCTGGGCCAAGCCTGGTTGGGGCATCACCTGGTCCGTGCACCAGCACCATGTGGCCAGCACTGTGAGCCCGAAAACGAGGCCTGGCCAAGGAATGTCCCCGCTCACAGGGTCCCGGAGCATATGGAAGGCATCAGACCGGGGGAGATGGCAGGTGGTATTGGGGACTGTGGCATTGGGTATGGCCTGTCTGTAGCGTTGCTCCAGGCCTGGGTACCAGCCTACCTCCTGAAAGCCTGCGGAGAGAGACGGCAGTTAGTGACACAGCCCTGAGACCCACTGGGGGTCTCCGGCCCCTACCCAGGCTTCCAGTCCCATGTGGGGCCCTGGGGCTTGGAACTGGTATGGGACTTGGGAATGGGGGAGATATGTGGGGCTCAGACCCTTAGTTGGTGTAGTGAGAACTCTGCTCTTTGGTAACCCCATCCTGGCGGTGGGGGTGGTGGGATGCTCTGGAAAGTTCCAATCAAACCACAGAGGTGAAAGCCCAAGATAGATCAGAGAGCAATTTCTACATGATGGTGGGGTGTATTCAGGTCTCTTCCTTACCCAGAAACATGAGGACCAGGGCGCCCCCCACCATGATCACCGTCTGCAGAGCATCTGTGTAGATCACGGCCGTGAGGCCCCCTGCAGACCCAAGGAGAGGGCTCATCAGTCGGCACCAACAGGGGGTTCCTCTCTGGGTGTCTGCCCTGTGCTTGGCCACATCAGGGAGCCCTCTTAGCAGGTGGGTTCCGGCCGCCTGCCTTCCCCCGACTGGCCGGTCCCAGCCGCAGGCACTCTGGTCTAGCTCTTTCTCTCCGCAGCGGCCCCTGAGTGTGGCCACTGTGCCTCAGTTAGCTCTTGTTGTTTTTGACATCCCAGGGCTATTCTTCTGCTGTGCTGGTAGCTCCACCGGGAAGCCTCCCTCCCTCCCCTCCCAACACCATGGAAATTCCCCATCTTTGCAGGCTGACTTAGCCACGAGCCAGGGTCCCATGTGCCCAGGCCTGCGAGAGGTGCTCTGGGGGACACAGGGGAAGGAGGGCTGGTGGCTTTGTCTGGAGCAGTCCCTGGTGACTCCAGCCCTATTGACAGTCTCCTAGCTGCACCCCTGCTCACTGTTGCATCCCTAGGCATCCCTCTCCACCTCTCCCTGTCTTTCGGTCTCTGCTCCCGGTGCCCGCACCCCGATGCGACCTGTCCTCGGCCCTACCGGCAATGGTGTAGACGGCTGTCACCACCAGCAGCATCGCCGTGGAGAGGTAAAGGTCCCAGCCCAAGGCCATCTGGATGAAGAGAGCTCCAGAGAAGATGTCAGTCTGCAGAGAGCCGGGACCCAGGAGTCCAGGTCACCTGAGGCCCTCACTGTGGCCACCAGGGTATGTCGCCTCCTGCTCAGCGATATCAAGTGCTGTCAGTCCTCATCACATGATGAGGGTGAGCCTCAAGTGCCGTGCTGAGGAGGATGGGCTTGACCTTGCAGACGCTGAGGAGCCATAGGGATTGTTAAGCAAAGGAGCACCACATGAAACTTTGAAACAGGGAGCAATGTCAGCTGGTGGTGCAGATAGGAGAGTCTGTTGCCCTGAAGGCAGGGGTGAAGGAGTGAAGACAGAGGAGGTGAAGCGGGGAGCAGGGATCAGAGAAGAGAGAGCAGGCACCCAGAGCCTCGCTGCCTGCTCCCCAGCAGAGCAGAGGCCCGTGCAGCTGCAGGTGGGCCCTGGCTGACGGGCCGGGCCGGGAGCCCAGTGAGAGGACTTCCGGACGCTCTGCATGCTCGGGTTTATTAGAGGACTTGGAGAGCGTCCTTTGCCTGAGCTGACTTGGGCTCGTTTTCAAGCATTGGTGGACAAGCCGCTGTACAGTTTTCCCGACTCTTGACCTGGAAGCTCACGGACTTGGCCCCTTTCAGTGCTTGCTTGCTGACCCCACTGCACGGTTGTTCCATGAATCCATCCCAGGGCTACAACAGGACAGTGTGCAAGGACCCCTGGCCCGGGGCACGGGACCCAAACTTCAGTTCCAGTCCTACGGCTACATTCTGTGTGGACATGGGCAAGCCATTTGCCCTAGGTTTGTTTTCTGGGTGTAGGTCAGTGGAGGAAGAACAAGGACCTTTCTAACTGTAACATTCTAGGTAATCAGTGCATGGTGCTGAATGGAGAATCAATTAATGGAAAGATAAATGAATGAATGTGCTCTAGATGATGAACTCCTTGAATAGAGGGACATCATTTACGCAACAGACATTTCTCATTCATCTGTGATCACTCCACTGCTGAGCGAGGGCTTGCATTGAAGGTATGTGGATTCGTCCCTTCTTCCTCCCTCCCTCCCTGCCTTCCTTCCTTCTTTCTACCTATTATCTATCTATCTATCCATCCATCCATCCATCCATCCCTACATCCAGCAATAAGCCGTGATGTAAACTCAGCATTTTTGGGCACCTGGGTGTCTTAGTTGGTTAAGCATCTGCCTTCGGCTCAGGTCATGATCCCAGGGTCCTGGGATCGAGTCCTGCATCAGGTTCCCTGCTCAGCGGGGAGTCTGCTTCTCCCTCTCCCTCTGCCCCTTGCCCTGCTCGTGCTCTCTCTCTCTCTCTAATAAATAAACTCTTAAAAAAAATAAACTCAGCATTTTCAGAGAGACAAGATGGTCACACTGGAGTGGGTACTCACAGAAATCTTGGTGAAGATGTAGAGGATAAGAGACAGGACAGACATGTACACCTGGATCCTCTGGCCCCCGAATCGCTTCTTCAGGTACTGCGGCATTGTGACCACGCCAGCGGCGATGTACACGGGGACAAAGATCCAGCCCAGGGCCAGAAGCAGCCAGGTTGCCTTGGAGAGTGGAGAGAAGTAGGTATCCATGTCCTAGATGCAGATGGAGGGGCAGCCCCCTCCCCCACATCATGATGTCGGGGAGCACTGAGCTGGGAAGCAAGGGACCTGGGACCTAATCTTAGTGCTGTGTGACCTCTGATGAGTCCCTCTGCATCCTCTGGGCCTTGATTTCCTCATCTGTAAAATGGGTTCTGTATTTACCATGCAGCCTCCCCAGGCACCTCCGAGGTTCCCCTCAGCACTAAAGCCTGGGATGGGGGGCAGGGGGGCTTCAGACCTCCATTATCCCTGAGAAGCCTCCAGCCAGCTTCCTTACGTTCCATTCGAAGCCGCCCACAGCGAGGCCTCCAGCAGCTCCTGTCCCAGCCAGGCCAATGAACAAGCCACTGCCCACATTGCTGGACATCAGAGAGGCTCCAATCTGCAGGGCACAAGTGGGGTCAAGGGTCAGGGTCAGTTTTAATCCAAATCAGCCTGGAGCCAGGACCACGGGCTTCAGGAGCTGTGGACAGAGCAGGAGCCGGGCTCAGGAAATCTGAGATCAGAGGAAGGAGGGAATGTGAGGGAGCACAGAGGAGGAGGGATGGACCTAACATTTACTCAGTATCTACTGTATGCGGACACTGTGCGAGGCATTTAATATGCACCAATACACTTAATCTGCATAAACATTTCTAGAGATGAGCATTAATCTTTTCAACTTACAGAGGAAGGAAATAATGTTGGGAAAAACAAAGCCACTGCCCTCAGGCCATGCAGTGAGTGGCCAAGTGGGAAAGAGGGAAAGCCATGGAGAGCAGGGTCATGTAGGGAGGAGAAGGCTCTGCTCTGGGGCCATCCATCTAGGGGCCTCCAGAGACGAGGATGCTGAGGGGAGGAGGGGAAGTCCCCACGAGAGGGATTGGGGAGGCCCCCTGCCGCCCCAGTGCCTCCAGGCTCCAGGGCAAGGCCAGGCAGAGGGAGGAGCCGAGGGGCTGAACACAGGCTGGGCCAGCCTCCAAGTTGAGTCATGTTTCTCCAGGAGGCAGCCAACTACTCTGAGGCCATAGAGACACTGATAGAAGGACAACATCACAGTTAGTACGGAAGCGGCGTCGCCAAGTGTCGGGCGCTGTTCTAGGTTTCCTCAGGCAGCCCTCACCACAGCTCTGGGCCGGGTGTCCCGTCATTATCCCCATTTGACTGAGGAGGGAACCGAGGCACAGATAAATGGCTTGCCCGAGCTCCAGAACTCGTGAGTGACAGAACCTTTGAACCCTGGCTGTCTGACTCCATTAACTAGTGCATGATTATTGCTGGGCACCTAATAAGCACTCATTACTGTCATTTTGATTATTTGATGGGATCCTTCATTGGGCAGGGAAAGGGGCGGAGGGAGGCGCTCTGGGGCCTGGGCGGAGGCGAGGCCTTGGGGACACGACCGGGGCCAGAGGGGAAGAGCTCGGCTCTGGGCTTGCTCCCTGTATCACCCTAATAAAATCACTTCCTCTTGCAAATCCTCAGATTCTCCACTTGTAAAATGTGGGGACTCACCTGTTCCCACTGCCTGTTCTGGGGGTGCTGGGCGATAGAAAGTGAAAAGAAAGGAAAGGTACTGAGACATTCAGAGAACAGATCGCCTAGAACATAAAGGCCCAGAGATTACAACCAGCCTGACGTTGCTCATTGCTGAAGCCACAGCCTGCTGCCACACACACACACTCACACACACACACACACACACACACACGCTCACACTCAGGTGGTCCTGGGGATGCTGGCGGGGCTGGGCTGGAGCACCTAGCCAGAGCACAGAGCACTGGGCCCTCCCCAAGGCTGCTCTCGGAGTGGGGAGGGGCCTCGGCCCCGCTCAGCGCAGGGCTCCCAGCTCACGACTCAAGGAGACATCGGCCATCAGGGCTGGCAGGGGGACCAGACGGGCCCCTCTGGAGCGGGGATGCTGTTGCTCCTTCTGCTTTTGGCTTCCCAGCCACACACTCTCTTTGGGGTACAGGGAGGGGAGTGAGGCACTTCTCAGGACTGGCCTAGTAGGGAGGGGCACAAAGCTATGGGACTTCTGTCACAGATACCCGGACACCTAGACATGCAAGCTCCAGGGCTGCAAATGGGACGGAGACCCCCCTAAGCAGGGCTGGTTCTGCTCAGGCTTCAGCAGTGCAGGAGGCCCCAATGCAGGAAGCCCAGCTCACGGCCCCACCCATGGGGGCTGCCCGGCTCCACAGCCCACTCATCTTGGGAGCACCCTCCTGCTTCCTCACCCCTACAGGGAGACACAGAATTTCACACGGAGCAGGGAGATCTGCTCTCTGCAGGACTGGCGGGCACCCAGGCCAGCCCCTGGTCACCCTCCCGGAATGGACCAGAGAGGTACTCCCTCCTGCTTCTTGTCCCTCCTACTGACTCATCTCCAGAGCTGTGGTGGGGGACGGCGGGGAGGGGACGTATCAGCTGAGCAGAATGGCCTCCGAGTGGCTTGCTGTCTCCTGTTGAGGGACCCAGTGTCACCGTCCCTGTGAACTGCCAGGCCCTCCGCCCCCTGCACTCCTGGGGATTCTATCATGCTGAAGGCATGAGAGCTCCCTGCCCCTACCTCCTCCTGTCCCAGATACTCGAACCTTCCAGAGAGCTCTGTCAGTGTCCTGGACCTCCTCTTCTCTTCAGGGAGTCTGTCACCAGCACGGGTGGGGAAAGTGGTGAGAACCAGGACGGGGTGTAGGGGTGGCTGGTGGTGTGTGAGTGCATGCACACACGTGTGTGTGAGCCGGGCGTGACTGGGCGTGTCACGGCCTCAGCACCACAGGGGCTGACAATCCCACGATTTGATTTCCAGGCAGGGCGTACCTCCCTCTGTGCTATTTCAGGAAGAGGAGATCAGTTTTGAGGACCAAGAGGAACAAGTGACGTGGGCAGATAGAAGAGACTGGGGTTTGCAAAGGTGTCAGGATCGATTCCCTGAGGTTGCTGGGGATTGATGTCTGTGATCCCCCTCACCTCACTGCTCCACGGTACTAAGCAGATATGTCTCCTTCCTACCTCCCCTGGCTGAGGTCAGAGGCTTCCCAGAGGCACTCACAGCCCCTCTGCTTCCCTCCTGTTGTCTGTGAGTCTGTCTGCCCAGCTAATCTGAGCTTCTCTGGGACAGGAACATTCTAGGTTATTTCTGTAGGTGCAGTGTCCAGCTGAGGGCGCACACTTAGGAGGCACTTACCCGAGGTGTGCATTAGCAAGATCTCTTGGGTTGTGGGGTGCCTGGGGGCCACAGAGAAGGAGCCCAGAGAGCCAGGAAACCCACTCAGGGGGCTGCCACCTTGGTCCAGGCGAGAGAAGACAAGATGAGGATCCAGGGGTGGGAGGGGACAGGGAGGACGATCCACTCACCGGCCACCAGCTCATGGACCTCCCCGCCAGGAAATAGCCACCAATGGTGCCTCGGCTTGCACGAATCGATGACTGGCAAGGAAGGGGAGAGAGGTGAGGATCTCCCGAGCTCCCCCACCTCTGCCCCGCCTCAGCTCCCTGTTCCTGGGCTCAGGTGCTGGGGGGACCCAGACCATGAGAACCAGATGGGCAATTTCACTGGTTTTACTCTACCCGCCTTTGGGAGGGACACAGCCTCTCTCTGGGCCTCACTGTTCGTCCCCTGGGGCTGATGTGAAGAGCCAGTGGGCCAACAGAGGTTAAAGCCTTCGCGAACAGCACTGTGCTGGACGTGTGTGCAAGATACGGTTATTGTCCCCCTAGCCCTCCCTCTGTCCAAACTTCGTTTCAGGAAATGATTTGTATCTGATTCTCGGGCTTGCATGGAGGCCGCCCCCTCCCTCCTTTCTGCAGGACTCCTGCACTGGGGCCCAGACGGCAGAAAGCCCCGCAGCCCCAGGCAGAGGGAGGGCTCCATCTGGGGCTTCTCCTGCCCAGGCCTGAAGTGGGACCACGCTGTGAAGCCTGTTCAGGAGCCCGCACAGACCCCTCCTCTGAAGAACAAGAGGAAAGTGGACGTGAATGAACTTCCTCTGGGGCCTCAAGGGCTGGGAGCCGGGGCGGTGAGCCAGGAAGCAGAAACTTGAAGACTTCATTAAGATGCTAACGCTCAGGATGCCCGGGTGGCTCAGTTGGTTAAGCGTCTGCCTTGGGCTCAGGTCAGGATCGAGTCCCGCATCAGGCTCCTTGCTCAGTGCGGAGCCTGCTTCTCCCTCTGCCTGCCGCTCCCCCTCCTTGTGTGCTCGCTCTCTCTGTCTCTTTCTGACAAATAAATAAATAAAATCTTAAAAAAAAAAAAAAAAGATGCTGAAGCCAACAGGTCTCTGATTGGGTCTAGAGATGGGAGAGATACCTGAAGGAGAAGGGAAAAGAGAAATGTACAAGGGGCTTCTTTGCCCCCGAGGAAATGTCCCTAGTCACTAGGGTGTGTTGAGGGGGAGGGGCTGGTGCTTCTGAAGCCTTTGCTTGAACTTCACCTGTCACCTCCGGCTCTCAGGCAGGCCAGATGAGCAGAAGGAATTCTTCTCACACATGAGGAAATTGAGGCCTGAGTCAGGGAGCAACTTGTCCAAAGTAACTGAGGAGCTGGTGCCTTTCCTGCCAGGAGTCGGTGATCAGCTGTGTGCCCATTTCTTCCTCACACCAGCCTTGGGAGGCAGGGACTGTTCACCCCACTGAACGGCTGAGGGAACTGAGGCCCAGTGAGGGTTCATGACCCTGCCACCGTAACGGGGTCACGACGGGCTGGGATTCGAATCACTGCTGCCCAGCAGCATCTGAGGGGGCTGGCCTGTCTCCCGAAGGGGCCGTGATGACACCTGCCGGGTATTGTTGCCCGCAATGCAGGGCACTGGGCCAGGTGCTTCGATGTGTCATGTTACTCAGGGCCATGACCTCTCTGTGGGGCAGTCTTTATCGTTCTCACTGTCCACACGAGAAAACGGAGGCTCACCGAGCATTTGCATGTTCCCAGGGCTCCATGGCTCTGTCAGAGCCGGGATCTGAACTCAGGGCTCCCTGACCTCAGAGCCGGGATCTGAACTCAGGGCTCCCTGACCTCAGAGCCGGGATCTGAACTCAAGGCTCCCTGACCTCAGAGCCTGGCCCCTTGCCCCAGGGCTGAGGCTTTGGTGAACAATGGAGAGCAGAAGGACCTTTGGACTCACCTAGCTTCCTTCCCATGAGCACACGAACCCCAGCTCCGTTAGAAAGCACTACTCCTTGCCAAGACACCCACCTGTGGAGGGTGGGGTGGGCCAAGAGTGGAGCATTCACAGAGTTGGCAATCTTGGTACGGGAAGGAGGGCAGGGTTGGGGATTGGGCTGCCAGGGACGGGTGGGGCCCAAGGCAGCAGATGCATAGAAACAGGGAGTTGGGAGATGGGGGTTCCTGCCTGGGCCGGCCTCAGCTTGCTGTGTGCCCTCAGGCAAGTCACACCCCTCTCTGGGCCTCAGTCTGCCCATCTATAAAAGAGATGGAGAGATGGATTTCTGAAGGCCTCTGCATCTTAGCCCTGTACTTCCCTGATCTGCCTTCTTTCTGCCCACTCTGCCCCCAGCTCCACCACCAGCCAGAGATGAGAGCCTGCCCCACCTGCCCTGCCAGGCCCCAACCTCTGGGACTACTCACCCAGACCCCCACACAGATGACAAAGACGAAGTAGACAACCAGGACCGTGATGTCGTAGGCGTGCAGGGTGACGCTGGAGCCCAGGGCTGAGCGTGGAGCTATCACAGTCCTGACCCCATTTCCTGACGCTCCAGGCCCCACTGTTGCCAGCTCCATGCTCCTCCGTTAGAGTCACTCACCACTGGCTGGACTTTGAGGCGCTCCTGGCTTCGTTCCTTCCCTTTAATGATTAAACAACCCCAAGTGCCATTAGCTGCTGAGAAAGCTCTGAGCTCCACTGGCTCGGGAAGTCCTGGTCCCCTTTTCTCCTAACTGCCACCCCATCTTCTGCAGGACTCTCCCTTTCCCTGCCCCCAGTACACACACACACACACACACACGCACACACACGTACATGCACACACACGTGCATACACATGCACACACATACACACACACGGGCACACTCCTACCTCTGAGAGGAGCAGGAGGAGGAAGAGGAGGAGGAAAGAAGGAGAATGCTGGAATTCTGGAGCTGGGAGGGACCTCAGAAGTCGAGCTGTTCAAGCTCCTGCTTATGTGGAGGGGAAACTGAGGCCCAGGGAGGGAAAGGTCACACGGGGAAGTAAGGTGGAGCTGGGACTAGAGTCCAGGTTTCTCAGTAGTGAGTTCAATGCAATTTTCCTTATTCCCGGAAGGAAGACAAGGGAGGAGAGGGGGAAAGAGTGCCATGACCCTTGCAAAGCCTCTACCACGTTGCGTGCTCCTGCCTCCACTCCCCCACCCCCAGGTGTCACTTTTCCTCTTTTTTACAGCATAGGACACTGAGGCCCGGGAAGAGACCTGTTTATTCCAAGCCACAGTGGGGGGCCAGAATTCACACCTGCCTGGTGCTGGGATAATTGAATGGTCCAGGAAAGGACAGACAGCACGCTAGGTCCAGGCAAGACCAGCCACCCCAGGACCAGGGTGGCCTGCTTTCCCGAGCCAGCAGCACATCTCACTGAACTGCAGAGTGACCGTGGACAGACCGCCTGGCCCCCCAGCCCCATCGTCCCAGATGCCCGACGTTGAGCCCCTCCCCACGCATTTTACCTGGCCCTAAGCCAGCTGCCTGGGCCCGCCGCAGCCCCTCTTCTGATGCACCTGAGACCCATCGGTTAGCCAGCCGGGCATTTTAGCAGCCCAGAGTCCAGAGAGGGCCAGGAAGGGAGCAAGAGAAACTTTGAAACCTTCAAAATAGATACTGTGAAGCTTGTAACACAAAGCCCAATGTTTGACCTATCAGTGAGTGATCCCCCCTCAGGGCCTGTCTAGTTTTGCTCTGCCCAGAGCTGCGTTATTTGTGCTCACAACAAATTAGAAACAACAACTTAACGGCGGGAGTGGGGCTGCCAGAGGCGGGCCGGGCCATGCAGGGCCGCGGGGGAGCCCGGCCGCCGATGGCCGCACAGCGCATGCGCGTCCTGCCAACCAGGTAACGTAGAAAGGATGAGGAGAAAAGACGGGCCAACCCGGAGCGAACGAACCGACAAATTAGGCTCCATCAGCTCTCAACCGAGGGCGTTCTTGCACAGCAGCTGGGGATTCGTGTGCATACTGATGGCCCAGAGTCACTGAGGAAAGACTGCATTGCGACCCTTATGGCTTTTCTATTTAGCGTGGATTATGAAATCCAGACAGGAAGAGTTGCATCCAAAATGGTTTAACAGTGTAGGCAGGTGTTGGCATTCAAGGACGAGGCCGCACATATGCAGGAAATCCTCTCGGAGAGCTCCCGAGACGGAGGATGTGGTCACGCTGTCGCTCTTGCAGGAGGCGCGCACCTGCGCTGCACCTGGCTGGGGGGGCGGGGGGGGGGACACCGGTGTGCGTGCTGTGGCTCCCAGGCTGGCGGGAAGACAGCCGCTCACGCAGGATTCGCCCACGCCCTTCCTTCTAGCTGAGGAGCTCACGGAAGGAGCAACAGAGACCAGTCCGGGAGGCTGAGCGGGCTTACAGGGAAAGGCCTTCACACCAAGTGCAGCAGAGGCGTGGCGGGCGGGGAGATGGAGAGACACGGGACCGGCTGACAATAGCCCCTTCCCCCCTGCCCCAGACACGCAGGTCCTGCAGCCCGCCCTGGAAGGTGGGGGACCTGCAAGGAGAGTGGTTAACTTTCAATGAAGATACAGGTGAATAACATACGGTGCGGGACATTATAATTTCTGAGTAATATCTGCAGGGAGACTGTGTTCTCGGAGTTACAGCCATAGCGGGGATGGCTAAGGCTCACTGGTCATGGGGACACACATGGAACTGGGCGGGTTCCAGTCTAGGGTGGACAGAAGAGCCATACTTGAGAAGGCTGCTTTTGGGCTCCCCCTCCCTGCATCCTCTTTATTCCGTGTGTAGTTCGCAGTAACTAGAAGCCCAGGAGCCTGACTTCTGGTGTTCACCGCCCATGTCTCCCTTAGGCTTTAGGCTGTGCCATCATTGAAGATTCTGGAAACCAGAGTTCTTCTTGGAATCCCGGGGCCAGCGACTTCGTCCAGACTTATGGCCTTGTCTTGGGAGGTCACCACCCAAAATATCAGTCCCCTTGGACAGCCCAGCTGCCCCCTCCCTGTCCTCCCGAGGCTGTGTTTGCCCTGCCCCTCCCCCACCCTCCTGCTGGCTGCTCATATCCAGCCATGCCCAGGGCCCAGGGCCTATGGCCTCTCCATCCTCCTGCTCCTCACTGGCAGGCTGTCCACAGCTGTCACAGTGTCCAGGTTGTCCCCCAGGCAGCCTGCTCATGTGAGGCTCTTCCTTCCCTCGTGTCCTCAGAGTTCGGGTCAGAATCCTTGCACTTCTTTGCTGCTGCGTGCCTGGAAGGGCCATACACCCCCTCACCTCCAGTTCTCCTCTGTGCTGTGTCCTCCTCCACCAACCCTTCCCAGAAAACTTCTCTCTTCCTCTAGCCTGGGGAAGGTCCCCAACCCCCCCCCACTCCGCCCCCCATTTATCTCACTGCTGTGGCCTTACTAGATGTGAGCCCCTCCAGGGACCTAAGTAGCTCATTCCCGTTCCTGTCCCCGGCAACTGGAGCCAGGTGGGCACTTAAAGAGTGGAGGGCGTTTCTGACCGACTGTGCTGGGCTGAGAGAGGCAGTGGGCGGTGACAGGAGCAGACAGGGGCTCTGCAGGAGTGTAAGCAGGTATGGTGTGTTCAGGGAATGACTGGTGGAAGGGGCGGGGGCTGCAGCCTAGGGTCTGGAGGGAGAATGTGGGGGCAGAAGGCATGAGAAGAAGGGGGTGGTGAGACTGGCATTCTAGAAAATCCCTCTGGGGGCCGAGATGGGGGTTGGATGAGGATGAGGAAGTGGCACAACAGGTTTGGTGAGATTGGCGCCTAGTAGAAAGGATGGAGAGGAGAGGGTCCCGGCTGTTCTTACTGAGCTGGAAGTGTGTCTATCTTTGCGGCTTCCTCTCCCCTGGGGTCCCTGCTCCGACCGTGGTGCCAAGGCCAGGATCCTCCATGGCAGGTGCCCCACCCCTTGGTGGTCCTTCCTTTCAACTCCCAGGGCCTACAAGCGCTCATCCCCGCCACAGAGCCACGAGTGAGCAGCGTTGGGATTGTTCCATTCCCAAAAGGACCGAACCTGTAGCCTTTGGCCACGGGAATGAGTCACTATTGGCAAGATCTTGAACACGAGGCATGAAATGCTGATGATACAAAGTAGGCTAGGGCCCCCCGAATCCACAGTGGAATCGATGTTTTCCACGTGGAAGGAAACCACCTGTCACGCTGCTGCCTGGGTATCCCCGTCTCCTCCAGCACCCCGCACCCCAGCCTGAGGAAGAACCCCGAGCAGGCTCAGTTGTAGCTCTGGCTGGCCTCGCCCTGCCTTCTCACAAGTTCTTCCTGAAAAACCACTCGAAGCCAACCTTCCTGCTATGAACCTCCTCTTCCAGAACAATGAGGGGTAAGGACTAAGTTTGCCAGCACTTGCCAGAAGTATTGGGTAGGTCACAGCCCACATGTGATCGAAATTGTGACACTAACTGTAGGGTTGGCTTCATGATTCCCATTTTGTTAGGCGAGGAGAGGAGCTCATTGGTGATGTCCCACGGTTCCGGTTTATTTGGATTTTGAATTCAGGCTTGGTTCACTCTAATAGCTGTGCTATACCGCCCGTCCTTTTTCTCCTAATCCTATGTCTCTGGGGAGAGAACACAGAAGGTGGATCGGTCTAAGGAGGGGGAGCAATCAGCTCCACTTGGCTTCCTCTGGTGGGAACCCTGAGCAGGGCGCAAAGATGGCTGGGCTGGGGTCTGGATCTGGTTCCAGAGACCTCGGCCCCTCTCCTGCCTCCCCAGCCCTCAGCCACCCTTCCTTCCCTGGCCACCTCTGCCCTGCCCCCACCACTGCTCTAGCTCTCAGCTGCCATGGCTGATGATTCTCCCCGCCCCGCACCAGGTGCCTTGTCATCAGAGCAATTCAAACCCAAATGCAATTCCACTTGATGGATCCCAGCCACTCCCTGAGCACACTGCACTAGGCTTTGTCAGGGCTGTGCCACCGCACAACTCCGGGGGCGCCTTTCCCCAAGAACGTGTCAGTGGTGCCCTGGCAGAGCGGAAGGCTGTGCTCTCTGCAGTGGGGAGAGAGAGGTGAGCACGGCCTGGTCCCGGAGAAGCTCCGCAGAGGAGGGAACCACGGTGCCCGTGGAGGCCAGTGGGGGCACTGGCTTCTTCGTGGCGCCGCCTCACCCCCAGCCCCCAAAGGGCCAAGGCTTCTGCAGTACTCCCAGGTCAGGATCGCACAGTGGGGAAGGGGGGAGGCCCCAGGGCGGCAGGCTAGATGCTAAATTCCAAAAAAGAAAGGATTATTACATAGGAGGAGCAGACTGAGAAAGACAGTGACAGAGCCCCAGGGATGGGGACAAGAGAGGAAAGGGAAAGAAGAGGGCTATGAGCTCTAGTCACTACAAACCCATCCCCATCAGACCCGCCGACCCCTACCTGTGCAGCCCGGCCTGGACAGAACCTCCTGCGGCCGCTGTCAGCCTTGGGCTCCCGGACCGGCGGCTCTGGCCTGGTCTCCGAGAGTTCACGCTGCGGCGGATGAGCCCTGGGGGAGGGCGTGGGGAGCCCCGAAAGCTCCCTCCAGCCCGCGGGGCCCGGTTATGAGGGGCCACACCTGTCCTTGCTTCGTGACCTTGTCTTGGGGAAAAGAGAATTTAGTCTGTGCTCAGGGTTCTCCAGGACC